AACGGCGCTTTCGAAACGCCTAAAGAGTGACATGCACCGGCTTTGGCAGGCAAGGCTGCGGTGCAGGCATGTGCAGCCAAAGGTCCCGGGAAGGGCTTTGGAGCCTGGCCAACGGCCCTGCCGGCTGCCGAGAGGGGTTTGAAGGCTGGCAAACGGCGCTTTCGAAGCGCCTAAAGAGTGACATGCACCGGCTTTGGCAGGCAAGGCTGCGGTGCAGGCATGCGGCATGCGGCCAAAGTCGTTGGTGATGGCTTCTCGCTGCGCTGTCCCAGGCGCCGCCCCGCTTAGGCCAAGGCTAAGCAGGGGTCGGCGGATTATGTAGATGTCACTAGGATGTTCGATACTTGTTGTAGCGGTGCAGTGTGTTTTATCTTCGTCGATCTCAAACGAATCTTTCCAATTTATTTCCTGATGCTGACCATGGTCTTATCTCGCAGGAACAAGATCTGCAGGTTGAGTCAATGTGGACATGGAATGACCGGGTAACCCTTGTTTGCGTTCCAAACTTGAAGTGTGATTGGTTGGATTGCTTGAGATCTCGGTGCCCACACTCCTTGTTTGCAGTGACAGGATGGACTACCCCGCGTGCTGAAGGCAGGGTGGATGGAGCGTGTGGACAAATTCTGTTCCAATCTTTGCGTTTCCTGCATTTACTTTTCCATGCTTTATATTTTCCAACAATGATCTACCTTGAGGATCCTTGAGGAACCATTTTCAACTTGACGGGGAAGGTGGGAGGGTACTTGTCCACAGGCTAAGAGGCCCGAAGGCATGAAAGCCTGGGATGGAAGCAGCTCTGACAAGGACGGTACTGGTATCTGTCAGTCTTTCTATGCCACTTTTCTTTCCCATGAGGTGAGGTTGTGCAAACGGCTCTGCTCCAGGACTTCTTGGTCTACAGCAAGACCACTGGAGCTGAAATGAGGATCGTCCTCGCTATGCTCTTTCAGCTGAAGGCAAAACAAGCGCTGACCGATCTTGTGTGGGACTTGTCAGGCGGTGGGGTTTGAGCAAGGACGCTATTAGGGGCTCCTGGCATCGCTACTGGGAGCAAGGACGCGGGCTCGTGGCATCGCTACTAGGAGCAAGACAAGGCTGACAAGATATGTCAGGTCCAGAGCACCCATAACACTAGAACTCGCGGGCACCGAAACATGTGTTGGCCTTGGGCGATCAGCTGAACAACACTATATAGGCAGAACTGCGTCCCAAGATTGGGGGTGCTTCAAAGCGTTCTTGAAACCCAGCGCCAAATTCCATAGCTCACCACCAGAAGCCACGACAGGCCGTTTGAGGTGAAGAATACTCAGAAGGATACTCCCCTCACTCATGGACCACACCTCTGACCTCGAGGCTGAGGCCATCAGCATCAAGATTGGGCAGGGTGTGTTGGAGCCCAATGGTACGGTGGGTGGCCACTTTCAGGGTGATGAAGTGCACTTCGAGGCGGGGGGCGTCGTCGTGAGCTGCCATCCAACTGCGTCCCCTATGATCTGTGCATTACTCCGTTGAATTGTAGGACGTTTTCCTGCGCGGTATCAAAATACGTCTCTCCCCGATCCAAATCAGCAGATCTACCTTAGCCTCTTATACCTATCGCAATATCTGCCCACCCACACGACCTTGGAAAGCAATTCAGTTAGCAAGGGCGCAGCCATTAGGATGACGAATCTGCAAGTGTCAACTTGGGACTCGTGAGGCAATTGTGTTGGAAGTGGGAACAGGTGACTGGTGGGAAGCCGATGAAGCTGGTGGTCATGAGCCCACTGGAGCTTGGGGAAAAGCTGACAGATCTGGAGATCAAAGATGATTGGACCGTAGGACCCCATGCGTGGGCGTGGCTGGAGAAAAGCGTCCTGCCTTGGCTGTTGGGCCACTTGAGCAACATATGATATCTAGGAGAAGCAAAGACGTCAGCTGTAGACACCAGACAAAAGTGACAGGGCGCAGACAGTAAGTTGATATGGAGAGTGTGTGTGTGTGTGTGTTTGTGAATGCGTTGCAGATTCGCCTGCAGGACAAGTGCGGAAGCTGCTGTGCAGCATCACTGGTTTGAGCCTTGACTTTTCAAGGCCAACGTGATTGTTTGGCACACGTCAAGGAAACCTTCAGCAACTTCAGCATCGCCAGATTGGTCACCATCTTTGCTACCCTGGACACCAAAACCTTTTGGGTGCTTGCTGGCTCCGAATTGCATTTGAAGATTTACGAGAAATGTGCAGGAGGGACATCCTAGCAGAGGTCGCGACGGTTTTAGTTGAGGGCAGAGGTCACTTTCCGTTCTCCGTCTTCTCGGTCATGCCAGGAGCTACTAGTTACTAGTAGCTTCTTGTTACTAGTAGCAATGCCCTTTGTTCCTAGTAGCTTCTTGCTCTTGCCTAGGAAGGAATCCAGTATGCTGATGGCCAAGGGCAAAATGGGCGAAAGGGTCAGTGAAGACGCCCAGCTGAAGCTCACCGACCTTGTCGTCGACTATGGCTACAAGGTGCCAGGGCGAGGTTTGTGTTCAAGGTCAGGGCTAGTGAGGGAATATGAATTGGATAGGATTGGAGAGTGGTCGGCTGCAGTAAAGAGGGGTAAGATATGTTGGCATGTTTTGAGAAAAGCTCAACTGTCATCGACTGGCAATCTTGGGATTTCATCTTGATACCATCTTGCTCATGTGATGTGAAACAAAGCTCAAAGACTGCTCTTCCCATGAACGCCCTTTGAGGACGGTGATGAGATTGGCTTCATCTACATGGGTGATCCCGAGGGCGACTTGAAGGACTTCCTCTCAAAGAAGTGAGAGCCGCAGGGTCCGCAGTGCGGCCGCAGGGCCTCGAAAAAGTGATGGCTCTGCGACGCTCTGCGACGCTCTGCGATGTTGCAGGAGCCTTGACCTGTCCTGAAAACATTCGAGTTTATGGTTGGTGCGCGATCATGGGCCTCCAATCTGCCCTGTTGTCGAGCCCACTCTCTGCTCAGCCTGCACATTGCTTTCGCATTTGTTACCAGCGATCCAGCGTCCAGTCATTTCTTCCAAGAGCAAAAGCTGCAAAAGCCCCAAAGCACTTGTCAATATGATCCGTGGGTCGCTTTCATCAGCTGAGGCAGAGGATGGCAGAGGATCCACAACAAGATCACGTCGCTCATGGCGAGGCGGTGATTCGATTGTGGCTCAAGCTCCTGACCTGTTGGTTTTAGGCTTTTGTGGCCGCTTTTTCATTTTTTTGTTTTTTTTCAATGGCTGGGAATTTTCATTTGGCTCGAAGGTGCATTTGACTGAAGATACAACGGTTCAGCCCCAAATACTCCAAGACAACAACTCACGAAGTTGCAAGAGCAGCATCAAACGAAGTTACTACCCGCACAGACCTGCACAACCCTGCACAACCCTGCACAAAAGTAGCAAAGCAGAATTCTATCATAGACAACGTCAAATGGACCTCATGGTTGATTGTGGATCAACTTATGAATCTTATGAACGATGACGATGCTGGGTTTGTGATACCAAGATCTGATGGAGTATGTTCCGCTTTGCCCGCGCTTGTGCTGCCTGTGTGATCAATCCTCGAGTTCTAGTCGGTGTACTGCTGCCTAGCTTGGTACTTTGGTCCATATATTCGACCTACACACGTGAGCTGCTCAAGATTCTGGTCATACAAGCCAGCATTGATGTTGACTCAACCAATTCTGCAGGTGGATCAGGTGGCATGACTGGTGGTCTTGAGACCGGCGCTCGAGATGATCCTTACATGAATATCACAGGTGCCAACATGGCTTCTATTTCTACCAGTCTCACTCCCTCTGACGACAATTTCGAGAGGTTTTTTTCCAAGAGTCGTTCCACGAGCACACCCTTTGCTTTGGGTAATCTCACCCCGTCAACGGAGGGTATCCCATCCACAGGTGACTCCACCGGTGACTCCACCGGTGACTCCTTTGAGTCGCCAACATCCAAGCTGCGAGTGGCCGTGTTTATGACGACTCATTGGAACAAGCAACATCGGAAGTATCTCGCTTGCTGGGAGCTTGCTACAAAGAAGCTTCAGCTCTTGAAGGAGGCAGATTTGGTGCTATACACTTCCACAGCGTTGACCAAAGAAGAACTCAAACAATTTCACTTTCGCACCATTACAGTGCGGATGTATGACAACCCTGGCTACCAGATTGGAGCTGTCCAAGCATTTAAAGATGGCTTTGGGTCGAAAGGTGTAGCAGAAAAGTGGTTCGCTGAATATGACTGGGTGGTTCGAGTGAACCCAGACGTTCTAATATTTGATGACCAATGGCTGCTTGAAACTATGCAGAACTCCTCGATTGACGGGATGTTTCAGAACTGCGGCAACTGCAGAGTGCACAGTGACTTTTTCGTACTTCGTCCGAGTGCAGTGAATCATACCCTGGTTGACACCGCGAAGGATATAAATGCGGAGCAACATTTGACCTTCAGCCTGGTCAACATTTTGAAGGTGTCCCAGCGGTGGGTTTGGATAGAGGGTGGACAGCCGGCGAAACCTCAGGGTTGCCGAATCACTGGAAGCCGTTCACCAGCTGTACACAATCACTCCCTGGCAAACTACTGCCCAGATTATTTTCGCGTGCGTGATGAGCAGCTTCCAAGAGCGAAAGGGCACTTGCCATGGGGGAAAGCTGAATGCGGGAATCAATGAAGAACATCCTCGATTCGTTTTGCCAAGACACGGCTTCAGATCAATCAGGGACCAACAGTTAGTAACAAATGTCAGGCACAGACTCGCCACATCTCTTTGAGAGAAGCCGCGGTCTTCCATTCTTTGAGAGGCGCTAGAGCCCTGACGCCTCCGTGCTGGACACTGGTTTGCTTGCTCGTAGCTGGATCGAAGACTCACCCTGGAATAGACCACATTGCGACCTGAAAGTGAGGGCTGGACGGTTGAACAGAACAGATCATAAAGTATGGCTGAAACCAGGGTCTTGGGATGCAGCAAGGTCGTTAGCATAAGCCAGACAAATGCTCTATTTAATGCAGCAGAACCTGAAAGAAGCAATAGCACAATCCGTTCAAGCACAGAGGTCAGCGTGATCTACGGGTGACCCTTATGGGCCTGGACAATCTGGACCACCAGACACCAAAGTGGATGCTGGGGTTAGATACCACATTGTTTTCCCAGGTACAACATGATAGCCAGTAGCGCTGTTTTCTGAGAAACTGACAGCGCCACTACTTGGATACCAGACGTAAGCCAGACGTACAACGTTCAGGTTGCCCCCTACTGAACTTCTAGGGTGTGCTATTCACCACAGGTGCATGTTGTTTGGGACTCGCAACTGGTCTTCACGACGACATGCACTACTTGTGCCAATCCGTGTAGTGTTCTTTGAGGTGTACACTCTCCGAACAAAAGCGGAACAAATGTGTGTTTGGTGTGTCTTTGGGCCTTGTACGGCTATAAAATGATATGTATAAAGACTTAAAAAAGTACATATATATATATATACACATAGTGTGTTTATATGGCCAGGTAGTTTAAATCATGGATTTGCTCGTCCGACGCAGGCTTCGGACGATGGATGTCAGCGGCAGAGGGGACGGAGGGCGCACCGAAGACGCCCGAACAGTGGGCTGCGGCCCAAGAGTGGCTCTTTGGACGTTGGACGCTCTTGGCGACACAATTGCGCCGCGGCCGTGGCGAGAGAACGGCCTTGGAGAAACACAGGAGTTTTGAACTGGCGCATTCCATGGGAAACATTAGCCCGTCGAATTCATGGGCAGCACAGTTGTTGCATCTCAGTGAGAACAGCAGACTTCCATGCCACAGGTTTAGGCTTTGAACATGAAGAAAACAGAGCTTCTATTGACTTGCTAGCCAGTCACCCTACTAGCACAAGCAGATCTGAGGCTGGTTAGACGATCCCACAGCCGCAGTTTTGTTTTCTTTCTACGTCTTTCAGTTCTTACTGCAGATGCTGTGATTTTAATGAGTTTCTACGGCCATTGCGGGTAGACACTCCAAGAGCCCTTCGGCCATGCCGCAAGAAATTCTGTTGCGCCCTCATGAGGAGGCCTACATCAAGGACAATGAAAGAAGTTTGTGCACCAAAAAGATTCTGGAACTTGAGTCCTGGGTAAGACACAATGGGAGATCTGTTGAAGAGCGAGAGGCAGAGGGCAAGCATGCCAAAGAACCCGAACTAGCAGCCCTCCCCGGCATCCTGTTTGCCAGCATTTATGCAATGTTTGTTGGAATTACCACAGGGATTTGTGGCGGTTCACAGGACTCCTTTAAAGCCGAGTCATTGCAAGGAGCATAAGGATGAGCTGAAGAGATTTAATGGAGCCTCGGCTGAGATTGGGCAGATCTGGAAAAACTCGCAGGGTTGGGAAACCGCATGCACACATTCGCTAGGTGCTTCAATCGAATTCGTTCGAGATCCCTTTGATTAGAGCCACGTGATTGGGAAAAAAAACACATCACGAAAGGGAAACAGAACCTGTTCAGATTTCACGCCCTGGTCTCCAGCAAGGGACTTTGGAGGTGGAATCATTGCTTTCTTCAAGTTTATCGAACGTGTCATAAGCTATTGGACTTCAAACCCTTGTGAATTTTGGTGAATTTGCATTTTCTTGTGCTCAATGGGTGAGGTTTGCCAACTTATTCCTGCTCCACCCACTTTTCCAATTAGTCCCTACAGCGTTTGATTGGTCTTGGACATGATGGAGCATTTTTCCTGTTTGCCCAAAGGTGCATGTCACATGGCAACTCCCAGGAATGGATTTAGTCTTCGAAGCTCGCATGCGCTTTCTGGAGATGCCGCTTGCAGCACTGTTGTTGGACACAAACTCACCTGAGAAGATTTCTCCGCTCAAACATTATGGGACCAAACATTTCTCGAGTTCATTTTCGCTGTACCCGACTGGATTTTAGTGTTTTACTTTTATCGACAAGTCGAATGAAGGAGACCCTCCCAGGTTATTGTGCAACATGTTTGACCCTGCAGATGTGGAGTTAGACACTCTACATCTGAATCCAAGATTGGTCCTTATCATCATCGGACATGCTCCTTCAAATAGCCGTGCATTTTTCATGGAAGAAGTACACAGATGTGAAAGGATGTGGTGAAACCTAGACGTCAAAGACATCGCATCTATTTTGATCCTTGAGCATCAGGTCGCGATGCAGTTTCTTGCAACTTGTGCCCGAGGCCACCAGAGCAACGAGAGAAATTGGCCCCCAAGTGGTTAGACGAGGACCAACCGCCACTCGGTTGCGTGTTGCTTTTTGGACATGGCTCAATAGACAGCATGTGTGTTCAGCAAATATATGGAGTTGCCGATGCATTTCAATTCAAGTATCTTTCTATCAGTTAGACAGGAACACAATGTAGTTGTTTCATGTTACTTCAAGGATCGTTTTTGATTCTATTGTATGCCAACCAAGTATATGTGTTGATAATTGGTTATAGATCGCTTAGGTAAACCATTAAAAGACATTTATTGTCTAGGTTGGGGCTTGGCACATCGTAGACAGGTTTGCGGGTTTGTTGAAGTCAGTTCCAGGCTCCAGGTCCAGACATATCCAGAAATCATGTCAAGAGATACTGGATTGATTGCGGAAAGCTGGGCATACTTGTTGATGGTGAGGCTGTAAATGCAAACCTTCTCATGATAGGCCTGGCCTCAAGTATAGTTCACACACACAAGAAGCCAGGTTCCTACCTCTTCCCAACTTGGGATTGATACGAATCACGCTGGCAGCAGGGAAAAGCTAAGTTCTCCCCGATGTTATGCACTGAAACAACGGCAAGTAATGAAGCCTAGAAGGAAAAAGATGTGTACACAGCACAAGCAGCGCACGCAACGCATGCAATATGGCCAGAACTGAGGATTCATAGATCAGCCTGGTGTCTCTAACGTGTATCGGGACGTGCCTGGTGTCTCTAATCCTTCCGGTTGTAACGCCTGGCCCAGCCATCGTCCCAGGCTTTGGGAACAAGGTTCCATCCCGCTGACAGCTCTGACGCTCGTCCGCGGCCGTGGTGGGAGACTGTTGACAGGGCGAGTCTTTGGGATTTTGAAAGTTTGAGTCCGTGGCATGTTATTTCAGCCACCGAAAGCTTCCAGGATCCGGTTTTTGAGAACTACCCATTTTCAGTACTTGGCAGAGGTGCCGGGTTGATTGCTCTTTCCAAAACGGACATCATGCCACTGAATCTGAGAGGGTCAATTCTGATTTTCGTTCCAACATAAATCTGGTGTCAATGCCAGCAATTCTGTCAACATAGTGCCGTCATCATTTGTTGATCTCACTTGGCTTGGAACGAGACTCGATCACTTTTCAGTTTTGGGACACAAGGACGCATTGATACGTGTTTAATACACTTTGCTTGAGCCGCAATGACAGCGGCCCGATTTCTCTCGTGGGCATTCCAGAAGATTCCGACATTGAAAAGACTTGACTCGTGGGGTGCTCCATGCCGGTTTGCATGTTTCGGTTGCGTCAAAGCCATCCCAGATATGAGTCCGCCTGTGCACTCCTCTTCAAGCTTTGAGGATCGATGAACAGGCAGAGGTTCCAGTGTTACAGCCCATCATGGACTACTCCAAGCCGTCACTTGCCGCTGAGAGATGCTAGGAGTGACAGTGTCGTAGAGCTTATATAAGAGATTTGCACTCAAGTGTTTTCCTTCAGCACACTGCCAACTGATTCCACAGCGAGAAACACATACTGAATATAGTGATACTGGTTTTACAGGGTATAGACTACCAGCATTGTTTGCCTCCCTCGAAGGTACTTGGCTTTCAGGCTTGAAACTATTCGCCCGACCAGTTTGTTGACCTTGAATGGAGTTTTGCCTGTTCTAAACAAGTCAGTCTCGTACGGCTGAGGGCTGTGCTGGAAGCGGCTGCACAGATTCTTGGACAAAGATAAAGAACATCTGGGGTTGTCCAACCAAATCGGAAGACCCCTAACCAAGGCGTTTTGGCCCATGCCCGCCCATCTACTGTCAGACACACGAAGATTGAAGATTCATATTATCACGGGGTGGCTTTTAGAACAGACATGCTTTGACACATGAGATTCCTCAAAGGAATTAGGAGGTATCAGACACTGACCTATAAAAGCACTATATTATGCCACTATGCAAGTAAAAGGTATGCAGTGCATGCAACCCTATTCGCCTGTGACTTCTTCACCTTTGTTATAAACATGACATTAGGCACCCTTCGGATCCGAGGCCTGCAGACGAGCCGGCACCGGAGCCCGTCTCCAGTGCTCCCACCAAGGAGGTCGAAGAAGTGGCGCCGGAGCCTCAGCCGTCGCTTCCCCGTCGACCGGAGGGAGAGATAGCTGCATCAAGTCCAACTTGAAGTGGCCCTTTGTAAGTGGGAGGTGGTTGGTTTATCACCCACCACTGTGGCACAGAGCCTTCTATTAGCACTAGATGGTGTGCGACAGACCTAGGACCCGTCATCGTAGAGATAACATTCACCCTTCCCAACTGAAGTACAAATCACAATCCTATGAAAGTAAAAGCAGGGCCAGCTTATATGATTGGCAATGGCCGGCCGGGCACTTCAGATTCTGGGCAGAGGGAGGACCCAGTTGTGAAAGACCTCCAAGGACTGGTCAAGTATCATGAAAAAGTACTGTACCTAGTCTTTTTTTGATGTGACAACCCTTTGTAACATGTGTTGAACAGTAGCGGTTGGGCATTGTTGGGCTATCTAACATAAACACTCCCCAGATATCCCCAGATAACTGGAAGCCTTTGGGGGGTGTGTTTGTAAGAGTCCAAGCAACCGCACAAGTGTGGCTAATAGTTCCTCATCCAAAATAATTGTAATTGTAATCTAGGGCCATTTGGGGTAGATTTGGCGCAACTTTCAGCAGGAGCAATCAGTAGGTCCCCGCGGGTGATCCACGGCAGCTTGTTCCATGCAGTGTTCGCAGAAGATTGACCGATTTCTTCTGAACCACATTGAAATACGTGTTTGACTGGCGGGGACTAGGAACCGTTTACACAAAGACTAGGAATATCAAAACTAGGAAGTATTGAATATATTTTGGCACTCACAAACAAGCTGCGTCCTTGCTTCGACTTGAACCCTAGCCCCCAAGGCCTGCTCGCCAAGAGCCAGAGTTCGTGGTCAACGCCGCCGGGACTGGGAGCGGGCCGAGAACAAGGAATCCAACCAAAAAGAACACCTGGTACACTGGGGATTGAGTTGGTCATTGGTACATCTTGGTTGTATTCCAGGCATGTACACAGTACATCATAGTACATCATAGGACGTACGCATAGTAGGTTTATAGAGCTCCTGGTGCAGAGCAATTTTCAAGAGTTCCAGGAAGCTATAAATCTCAGTTGCCCTGACCGGTGGGTGCGAATGAAGGGTCAACACCCAGCATTTTTCGTTGTTTCAGTTTCAAAATGGATCTCCGAACTGGGATGCTGACGGTGAGATGATGGGTCCAACGTGAACCTCATGTAGATAGCTTCTGGGGGTCTCCCTCGGTTAACTTGGAGAGGAATCCTGAACATCAGTTGACTGCAAAAGGTTCTTCTGACCCACAGCGTTGCTGTTCTACAAGCGTACCTCGCTGTTTGTGGAGAATGGTGCTTTCTGCGTCCACCTGGAAATGGATTACTACCAGTCACTCCTTTGAAGAGGGATTAGACCATGTCCAGATCAAGCCCGAGGTGCTGGTGGATCCTGATGAGCAGCCTGATGCTTCTGGGATCGACAGAGGGCAAGGGTGGATCAGTTTGATGGGTGGACAGAGTCTTGTCACCTTGTCTGAAAACTCAATGATATCAATGCAAAGCGAACCGGGGCGACTGCGGAGACCAAATGAAACAGAAGGACACCTCTTGAAAGCCGTGGGTGTTTTCAGGTCCCGAACTGGACATCAGCGAACACACACCCTCACCAGCTGCGGTGATGCAGAGGAGCTACAGCAGCTACAGGGATGTAGGGTTTATTCATGTTTATTCAAAGACCTCTTTTGTATACCAGTATTTGTTGAATGTATTTGATTTGACCCTTCTTCTGGGTTCGCCCTTGGATACTTTCCATAAGCTTTCGTGTGATTTGCGTGAGCTTGGGTGGAGGGGCAGCGACGCAGCAAGTGGGCCAATCGACCCTGGAGATAGGAGGCAGGTCAATCTGACACTCCATAACTTCAGACAGCGCTAGTGGGTTGGAGGCCATCGCTATTATATAGTAACTCAAAGAAGATGGTGTTCAGACACTTGAGGTGCGCAACATCCTGGAGCGACAGCTTTTGGAGTGATGCGCTTTAGAGGAGGCATGTGTGCGTACAGAGAGTATTGGTGGCATTGACTCAATTTAATCACAAATCTTGCAGATGAAGCCGGTAGCAAGGCCCTCGCGACTTTGTTGAGAGCTAAACAAGCCGATAGACAGACATGAACCGTGACCGGCGGCCAATTGCCAGAGCAAAGAGCATTTCGGGGGCTATGTGGACCTCACAGACAGCTCTGATGGTCACCTGGACCTGGAAGGTATATCCTCCAGCAATGCTCAGCCAGGGAAGCGGCGATGAGTTGATTACTGTAAATATGCGAGACAGCTGCAGCGAATTCAGCATGAGTGAAGTGCCATATCTTTGTGAAGTACAAAGGGCATCGCTACTAGGAGCAAGAAAGGGAGCGGATCCAAATGGGTCCACCCTCTCCGTGCACGGCCATCCGACCGATCCCTTTGGTGCACGGCTAGAAGAGACGCATGATGCCGCCAAAGGCTGGCTGTGCAAAAGGGGCTTTACTTTTCGACACCTGCCATTGGTCGGAGCAGATGGGAGGACTGGGACGAATGGATACAGAAAGGGGTACCGTGATATTGTGCCCCTGCTCACATTGAGACTAGAACTGATTTGGGTGATTTGGGGTGAAACCGATATTTTTTTCGTTCTCTAGCTGTTGGCTCAAGCTCGTTGTCTCAGACTAACTTAACAAGGTCAGAATGCTCTGCAATTGGCTCGACAATTTACAAAATATGTATGGTGGGTGCTGCTTGAAGTTCCGAACAGCAACTGACAAGCAGCCCATGCAAAGAAGATCGACTGTATATACCCAGAAGTATTTCCCAGCATTCTATGGCCATAGAGTCGTAATGACTCATAGACATACAGTTTTTGGTCAATCTTTTTGTCCATGTTTGAAGCCGGTTGACTTTGGATGCAGATGCCGTGACAGACTGAAGACCATGAAGTTGGACGGGTGGTTTGCAGCACCACAGCTGCGAGAGGCAGAAGATTCCTGCTCAACGGGACTCAACGGGATGTCAATGTGGGCCGAAAACTAGTAGCAAGGTGCCTTACTGGTAGGCACAAGCTGCTAGTATAGTAATGCCCTTGTTACTAGTTGCGATGCACCTTGCTCAAACTGGACATGTTCACAAATCAAATATGCAATCATATTGTCAAGGACGTCCGACCAACATATAGACATATAGCCTAGCTTGAGGTCGTGCTGCTATTAGACTATTTTGATAGATATATACCTGTTTGCTTGTCATCCGATGGTGTATGTTCAATACATAATACTGTATATGTATATTCAATATATACAGTATATATATATAATATATATATATATATGTATATATACACATCCGACCAATCTCAGCACGGCCCATCTGCAATGCGCCCATGGCAAGCTGATTCCGTCGAACTTTCCACAACTTATGACCAGCTGTTGCTTTGGATAGAGTGCAATTAGAGTTGGCTCCCAGGCAGCGGGCGCTCCTGACAACTTTACAAATGCCTCGGAGTTTTGTTGGTTCACGTGTGGAGAAGCCCTACTAGCTGCACCAAATGGTTTGGCCCAGCTTCTCCATCTCATGTTGCAGGTTTGTGCCCTGAGCCTGCTGCTGGCGGCCTCCTGTGTTTGTTGGTTCAAGTCCCGCAGGCAACGCCTCACTGATGAGGAGCTCTGGCAGGCTCAGCAGGAGGCGAACCGCCAGAGCAAGCTGAGAGATGAAGAACGGAAAGGTTACCCGGCAGGACGCAGGACGCCTCCCCGGATGTTTGAAAGAGAAACAGAACTCGAGTATGCTTGCAATTGTAACTTTCTTGTGAGCAGCTCCAACGGGTTCGATGCTTAATCATGAAAGCTCAGTTTTGATAATTGAACCTGATTTGTTATGATTTGTTCAAGTGAGATCAGAACCTTCACAAGAATTGATAATTTTCCCTTTTCCGGACAGAGTTGAGACTGTTCAAGTCATTGACTCCGGACTCCTGACTGAAATCCAGCTTTATGTCCTCAACCAACTCGATGCAACTACCAGGACCACGAACAAGCGACTGTGTGTCGTTGGGCATAGCATCATCCAGCATCCATATATATATATATAGACTAATATTACTATATTATATATAAATGAATGACGCTACTACAGGCTCCTGGCCTTACTACTAGGAACAAGAAGCTACTAGGGGCTCCTGGCCGTACTACTAGGAACAAGGACGCTACTAGGGGCTCCTGGCCGTACTACTAGGAACAAGGATGCTACTGGGGCTCCTGGCCGTACTACTAGGAGCAAGGACACTACTAGGGGCTCCTGGCATCGCTACTAGGAGCATTCTTGCTATTCATTGAACACCTGCCGGTTCGACCGCAGCCTTCCTGCCTTTGCGCCGAGGTCGCATCCGCGCGGAACAGGAGCTGCGGCAGCGCGGCGGCGCTGCGAGTGCCCCGGAGGGCTTGACTGAAGGCGCGGAGCCGACAGAGGCCTTCACGCCACTGGGCTGGAAAAACGAGCCAGATGGGCCGGAAAACCCTGCAACATCAGCCAACACATCCTGCAAATGAGTATTTCGGTGAAGTATGGGGTGTTGGTTTGCTACCAAACAACCGACCAATTGGACACTGACATGATTTTACTATTTCTTTTCTTTTTGGATCCCCACAAAATCCAAGATCTCATTTTGCAACACCTTGGCCCAATGAGAGTCTCTGGAGGATGAGCCTGAAGGCAGCAAACTGACTGCAAGATTGAGCGGCTCAAAATGACATCTGCACGTTTTTGACGGCCGGAAAGTTATTGTTTTGATGCTTGATCTTCAGAAGCATCGGGCACCAGGGCACAGGCAACCCACCAACGCTTGCAGAGAACATGCAAACTGGGCATTCCCGAGGTTCCATCCAATTGGCACCTTCCAGTCCTGCTATCAGCAGCGCTGTGGAACACCACGTCAAAGTAACCTGGTGATGCTGGGTGGCAGTGAGGGGGGCACCAGATTCTGTGAAAGCACGTGATTCATATGCAGACAAGATTACCAGACGATTTATCTTTATTCTGAAAAGACATGGCATGAGATTGCATTGCCATACATTTCTGGAGGGGGTTATTTATGCCAGACTCGATAAACCCACGCTGAATGTCAAGTTCCTAAAGTTCCTAAAGCATAACCACCATATCGGCCCCCTGGGACTGCGGATGTGGTTGAACCCAGGAAGAGCAGCTTAGCCACGCTCCGATGTGTACGGGATTTGAATCCAGAGGCTGCCCTGGAAGGATTAGTGGACTTCAGCCACGTGTCTTGGCCATGGGTCGTGCAGGTGTCTAAAGTGGGACAAAGTGACAACAAAATCAGTGGGCCTCCAATGAGCCTTCCGTGAGCCTTATGTCAATTTGGGAGGTGTAAACAGCACACAGGTTCAGGGGCAATGTCAAAGGATTGATCCTCTGGCCGGTTGGGTTCAACGTGACCTCTCCTAAGGTCCTAAAGCTGGAGAAGGCACAAACGGATACAAACGGTTGAAACAGTTTTCAACCGAAGCACGTGCTTTTTAGCATCTAGCTCTAGCTCTTTGGCCTTTCTGCACCACACCAAGACACAACGCAACTTGTGATTTGCATCTGATTCTGTATTGAGTGCTCCTTGGGCACCGAATGAGGTTTGGGTACTCTACATCTTCCACGAGAATACCAACACTCTGCGAGGGCCAAAGACTCTCAGCTTGGCTTTTGCTCTTTTTGCACGCACCCCAAGCAAGCTTTCAGAGGTGTGTGCTTCATGCAGCAAGTTGTACGGTTGGTTCTGGACAGAGCCATGAGCCGTGCTGACAGTTGTCCCTAGTATATCCTTACTGTATATAGTGACCATTCTATTTTTGGACACCCTTGAAATTGTACATTTCTTGAAGGGGTCTATCATATATCCCACAATGCCTGCAACGGCGGATGGATTTCTCTACTCTGTTTCTCAACCTCTTTAAAAGTCTAATGGGGACAGGTATTCTCGACTTCTTTTCGACCCTAAACGAATTTCTAGCTGTTTCTGGGTTTCCAACTCGACCCCCTTGAAGCTGTGCATTTTCAATAAATCGAATTTGTATCCCACGATGCGTGCAATGGCGATTTTTCTATAGGTGGGACTTCTTTCCTCACAATGACGAGTGCCATGCAGTGGATGAATCTCTGAAACATTACACTATTGAAATTGCATGCTTTGCGTCACCAGGTCCATGAAAGGCAAGCAAACAATTCTTTTCAACAATTCGATTCATTCCTCCACCACCTCCACATGAAATGTTGCAACACCTACCAATTTTGCTCTTGATGGAGGATGTGCATTTCCAATCATTTCTGTTCCCAAACGAAAAAGCTCCCCCCCCAGAGCTAGCGCTCTAGGAACTCAATGCTCGCACCTCAACGCAACCACGCCCCTCAGCACGTTCGGTGCGGGCAGAATTGGCATCAAACGTTTGCGAAGGGATGTTTCTTGCGTCGGGCCGAGCTGCTGGGCTTCTTTAGCCGCCAACTTGTGCAATCACAAAGATCGGCAACATGTTCACAAAACAACCCACAATGATAAGGCATCGTTTTGGCAAAGCCGACCTGTGAATGTACCTAAACAATATGTTAGATGTTCGAAACCCAACGCTTAATAAAAAACAAGAGCTGTGCCCCGTGCTTGCCACGCGAAATGCGCTTGACTGCATAGCACAACCCTTCGACACGCAGCGAAGACCTAGTTTTATAGCATTCTGGCATTCCGTCTGATCATCCTAAGGAGTGTGTCACGACGTCGTCAACAACAGGGCCGTGTGCCCTTGTGGCAGGGACTTTGCATGAAAGTGGCTCCGCCACGATGTCCAGAGCTGCGTGTAGGGGTTTTGGCATGTCGGATGCTTGGTTCAAGCCGAGGTCTTGGTTTTCTGGCATTGCCGTGACGATTTTTGGTGAAGATCCGGAACGATATATTATATATATTGCAATATTCTTTTTTACATTGCATACTTATACTGTATCTTTTATTCCTGTCAGACACCAGACATTTGGGAAGTACCTTCTGTTTGTTCCACTTTGCTGTCCCACAACCAGAATCAGAGTGCTGTGCAGGAAACGAACATACACTTTTTTGGAGTCAACCATGGCTTTGTATCTCAAGTGCAAACGACAGCTCTGACGGTCACGTCAGTGTTTACACTTGCCTAATCCAATCCTTGGAGCCTTGCCATTAGGTTGAAGACCATTGCTCTTAGGTTGGAGGTCATTGCTGTTGGTATATCCAATCCTTGAAGCCTTGCAGTGTTGTTTTGCGCGGCCTCAAGGACGCCTCATCGGCCGAATCCCATTGGCCTCTCCTTGGCGAAAGTCGTCGAGGTGAAACCATCGGACGCCCGACCTTTCGTGTTGCTGGAGTCGCACATGCGGGGCCTGTGGAGCTAGAGGCGAATCTCCTCCCACCAAACCTACCTCTCAGTATTCTTGTAAAGGGAGTCTAGTGTACAGGCTATGTAGTCAATCTTCACAAACCAACCCACACCTCCAGCCCACCGACCAACAGATTTCCACAGACACCTCCAGGTCTCTTCGCAAAACCTTAGCATTCCACTTGGCTCAAGTGGAAAAAGACAAGGCGTGAGCAAGTTGCTCTACAACTTTCTCCAACGTTCGGGAGGCCAACATCTCCCAATACCAGACTACTCTGTTCAGATTGACAGGTGCATGGAGGGGACAGCGCACAGTCACATGAGTGTTTTGACACATGCAGGTTCCTCGTCACTCGCATGTTGTAGCATTTCTGATCTTTATGTCAGGGGTTCATCAGCTTTGTCTGTTCCGCAAGCGATTGTTGTGGTGTTTTTTGGTTTGTGAACGCGCAACCAGTGGAACGTTTTCTTTTGATCGAGATTGACTCCACAACTTGGCGTGAAACTCCGCCAACGAACCATCCAGTGTGCGCCAGTTTCGACAGAACCTGAAGAGAGTTTGGGGAGGTGAAAGCATGCCTCGTTGTGACCTAGGAGGGCATTTTGGTCTTGGCTGGTTTGGACGTTATCGATGGAACCCCTTGCCTAGCAACTTGGTGCCAAATCATCATATTTTTGTTCTCAGAACAGACCTTTGACCAAAGGATGACCTGATATGATATGATATGATATGCTGATACGCATTATACAATATACTCACTGATCAACCAAACGCAGTCTCGTTTTTGTTTCGTCGATTTCATAGAACCATTTAACCTGTTTCTTCTTTGTTGGGAGTTTCGGCGTTTCGCTCAGGATTTGAAACCATATCTACCCAGCTTCGAGGCGATTGATGCCTCAGTGCCTCAGTGGGTTCAAACCTCCTATGAGGAACCCATGATGGAGGCCGAGACGGAGCGTCTGCGAAACTTCATGAAACTTGTGAGCATTTGCAAGGAGTGGAGTGGCAGAGTGTTTGAGAGCTGAGATAACATATTTCAAAGAGTCCAACCGAAGTATGGCTCAAAATCATTCAAAATCAGTCTCGGTGATAAAGGAACACCAGCCTGAGATTTGAATCTCAGGCTTTGTCCTTCGAAGACTGGAATACTCGCAGTTTTCAAGACTCTTTATGGTCACCCGATGAGGCAATTACTGTAGAATCTATAGAATCTGCGAGCATTTGCTCCCAGGAAAAGCCCGCGGCTTTGTTGCATGTCATCGACTTGGTTTCAGACCAAATTTTTCATGCGATATGAAGGGGATTTTTCTAGGGTGAGGGTTGACACGTGTTGACATGAGATGGATTCGGGGGACACGGGGCCCAGACTGCTTTGGCCGAAGTTCTGAAGTTCTGAACCCCGAACCGGCCCGAACTGCCAGGTCACCTGGTCTCCTGAAGCCTCACAGCAGCTTTCGGAGCTGCAAAGCACGGAGCAGCTGCGACTGGAGCCCTTCCACTCGGCTGAGCAGCTAAAACAGGTGCCACAGGGCATTTGGTCGGCGTGGAGGTCAGGGGTTCGCAGGGGTTCACGGCGTTTCATGCGGGTTCTCATACGTGACGGGGTGGGCCAAAAGAGACAAATCAATGGGCAGGATAGGATAAGAGAGGGGAAGATTTGTCGCTGTCTCTCCGATCTCCGCGTGTCTCCTTACTATTCAGAATATCAATGACTATCAGTCCATTTTAGTCTGTGATGGTTCATGCAGCTCTTTGCCTCCCAGCCAGGTTGGTTGAAGTCTCCATGGGAAAGTCTGAAAGATTCATCCAATCTGCCTTCCAGATCCCTCTTCCAGATCCCTTGCTTTCACAGACAACATTGTGGGATCATGTGGGATCCATGGCCCAAGAAAACTCACCTTGTGGGTCAAACCCCACTGGGGCAGCTCTTCGCCGTGCAGGCAATTGAAGAGACCCTGGCGTTGGATATCCGATCGCCGTTGCAAAAGCAGCGCAATCCACATCCAGGGCGACAGGGGCCCAGTGAGCTTCTCGAGCGACCCTTCTTCACCGGGGACTTGTGGTTCCAAGAGCTTCACATCAAGCAACCCAGCTGCTAAGTCGTGGGGGATCTGGGGATTTAGGTCCTTTCCACTTTACCCTATCTACACAAGATTGAGTAGGTTCTAAGCTAGGGGTCTCAACGCCCCGCTGCTAATGGCACGGCCAAAGGATGTGATCAGTGTTCCTACCAGCAACTCCAAGAACATTTGGATGTGAGGTTTAATTGGGAGATCCGAAGGTCGAATGGGTTTTGGTCTATTTTCCTTCTTCCAGGAGGTCTTTGGGAGGTCTCCCATTTTTAATACACACGCACGCTCATTTTCTCATAATTTCCAACACAGCAAACATAGTGGAAGAACTCAGAACAGCAACCAGGATCAACCAGGTTACCAGGACCACGCCCGAGGGCACCACCTCAACAACGGACTTGTGGGCGTACCAGAGTTGGACGCATTGCCTGATGGCATCGGAATCAAGATGGCCTTGAGGTGGTACAGCTCGAAGCAAAGACATTTCATTTTTGTCACAGCCATGAGAGGACGAGAGATTACAAATGGGTGACCCAAAGAAGAACGAAAGCTGAGCTCACACCCAAGCCGGTACTTGATCTAGGATTCCTAGGATCTAGAGTTTGACATGATCAAATGGGGTAAAGGACGAATATATATACAAAAGGATACAAAGGAAGAACAAACGCATCGTCGACAACCAAAACGACAACAGACAACAGACAACAGACGACAGACGACGACAACAACAACAACAACCACTACGACCACAACCACAACCACAACCACAACGACAACGACAACGACGAGGTACAAACAACCCCGTTACAACATATCTTCTTCCTTTGTCTCTACAAGGGGGTGGAAACAAGAACTGCAGCCCCGTCGTTGCTTTTGACCACCCCAAAACAACCAGCCAACAAGTACTTTGTAGTGGTAGTGGTAGTGTTTGTACTAGTGCTAGCTAGTACTAGTACCACTAGTGTAGTGGCAGTAGTAGTAGTAATAGTAGTAGTAGTAGTAGTAGCAGTAGCAGGAGTAGTAGTAGTAGTGGTGGTGGTGGTGGTGGGGTGGTGGTGTGGTAGAGTGGTAGAGTGGTAGAGTGGTAGTGGTAGTAACTGGTCAAATATACCCTATGTAAAACTTCTACTTAGAACCTCTACCACATCCTAGAAGAAAAAGCTGTAGCCGCCGTTGTTGTATTTTGGACTCCCGCTCAAAAGGTGCTGTCTCTACCCTCTGTTAGAAACAAAGACTGCAGCCCCGTTGTTGTTTTTTGGACCTCCCCCCCTCCAGAACAAGACCTCAAAAACACTCAAAACGGGCCAGCCCAGACTTCAGTGAAAAAATCCGAACAAGCCCAGCTACTTACGAAACCTTCAACCGTATCCCTAACCTTGCCCCCTTGAAGTTCCAGAGTTACAACATACAACATGTGACAAACATATTGGGTGGCTGTTTTTGTTTCTACTAAAAACAATAACAATGACAACGACGGCAACCACAACCAGAAAAAGGACGTATACGAGTTAAGAGGTTAAGAGATGATAATAAGAGCAAAAGCAAGGACAATGCCAACCAGGACACCGGCCATACCATCTTGAAATGTTCGAATCTATTTCGGACCCCGTTCTTCATACTATTGATGACACTGCCACTCAGTGCTACCCGCAGACTGGATGTTGCACTGGACTCACTGGACGAGGACCTGTCCTGGTCTCAGGTACTCCCTGCTGCCCGGAAGAGCCCACCAGAGCTTTGGCAGATTCATCGTTTGTCTTAGGTAGGCTACAAGAGGTGACGTGACCGAGCTCATTCATTCACTGACCCGCACAGACCAACAGCATGCTTTGGGACATTCTATCATATATATATATGCTTAGGTATTATATATATATTGTATGTGTGTCACATTTCATTCTTGTGCCAGTGTATACGGGTGACAAATAGACAACGATACTCCTCCCATCTGAAAAAGAATCGGTCTCCCAGGTATGTGCGAGTCGAGGAGTTGCAATCAAAAAGCAAAAGGGGCGCGCTGCTGATGGATGCTGCTCACCTTTGCTGGGCATGGGAAAAACGTTGGGCCATGCCATGCAGCTGATGAGGTACCGAATCATTTGTTTTGAGCTTCAAGGGATCGGATCACCAAGTGACATTTTGCAGTATCCGTACGGCTAATGACAGACAGGCTTCATGGTTTTGTTGGCACAACGCCAGCATTGTGGTATTCAGAGCTCGCAAAAAACCAAGACCTAGACTCTAAATATCTCTAAATGAGATTGGGATCATTGGCGATCAGTCAAGTGCATTTCTTGAAGGTGGAGAGTAGTGTAAAGGAGGTTGCAGAAAGGGTGCAATGTGTGTTGCGGTGCGACTATTGGCCACATCTCTTGGAAAGGGGGGTGAGTGGCGATGGAGAACCGTTTGATCTTTGGTTTCATCTCTGGCATACCAGCCTTGCAGAAGACAAAGGGCTTGGAGAGACTGTCATGGCATCAAGGGCATCCATGGCATCGGTGGACATCATTGATGTCACGTCTTTTTTGTGCTTTGCTCGACAGCTTGGCTCAAGTGGGTTGGTCGTGTGGGGAAAGGCTGGGAGCCCAAGAAAGTCTGTCAGGAAGTTCCGTCCAGAGCCACAAAGCTAAGTTTGTTGGCACGATTTTAGGAAATTGCTTTGATCAAACTTCATTAGCCTTCTCAGATGATCCCATCAATTTCCCTGCTAGAATGCTGTTTTGGGTGTTTGTTCCTCGATAAGAGAAGGGCAACTAGACGAGGTTAGGCCAAATTATCTCATTTCACCAGGCTTATTGGTGGTCGTCTTTCAAACCCTAATTTTTTTTGGAATGGCTGTAAGCAGCCCAGTCCTGCAACGACCACGACTGGAGATAGGTGAGGATGCGGAGAATTGCATCGAGCATTTTCTGGCTTCCATTGTACCTATAACATACTATAACTTATTTAAATTGGTTAGAGGATTTGCCACCATCCCTGTAGGTGCGAGACCTACCATGAGCAAAGAGAAGGCGGGGATTTAAGTCTGTTAAGCTTGACAGCATGAAAAACCTTTCATTGCAGTCATAGCAATCCTAATACACACTCTGGTCCCAACCACCTGTTGCAAGCTCAAGCAACTATGACAAACATGGAAATCAAAGCAAGTACAAACTGTACAAACTGGGGTCACCACAAGCAAGCACTGAGAGCCCCCAAAGGTTGTTTTTACACCTTGAACCTCAACACACACACACACAGAGACAGACACACTTGCTTCCAGCTAATCGTGGGAAGCGAGCCCAGAAACCAACTCTAGGAGAGTCAAACCAATTGCCAGGGCCATCATGCTATCTCAAAAGCTTTTGTGACGACTCACGACTATGCAAAACGTAGAAAGCTAACGAGAGGCCGACGCGACCGTACTATTTGTACAACATCAAACGCATCCTGGGAACAATGTCCGTGTCCAACCAATGATGGCCAATACAAGCGGCTGCTGATGCCAAAAAAGAAGCGCCAAGGGACACTGGCAAGACTGGTGGAGGACTGGGCCCGGTGACTGTACAGGTTTGACCACCTACGATCAATCAAACACATCAGACACCTACTATCAATTATGTTATGTGGGTTGAAGGACGACTCCCATATGTTGGGCCTCCAACGAAAAGGATTTGTTAGCCCTCCGTTGGGCTTCGCACGCTCAATGCAGTCACATCCAAAGACACCCATATCACAATGGCAGCATCGTGCTGGGTGGACGTATGAGGTCATGGTCCTTGAGCAGTACGGACCTGTCATTCCCGATTGCCCGGTTTTGACAACCTCCACGTGACTCATAACTTTGAGGCTAAGAGCACCTGTCTCCAATCGGCAAGGACCAAGAAGAGAAGCAGCTGGCAAATCCGGTGCAGGTCACCTTCCTCAGCATCCCTGGATTTGAAGGCGTTCTTTGTGTCAGGCTGGCAGTTCGCTGTGGCTGCCCATAACATCTCATCGTGTGAGTAGACGCAATACTTAAGATACAGATCAAGGTGCAGATTTGAGCGTAAGACCAAATGTCCTGTAATGCCTAAAAACTCCCAAAGTCAAGTGTCATTTCACAGAAACTTGTATTTGCACGGATTTGCTCGAGAAGCTTAGCAATCCCGTTCAGGCTCCACAGAAAAGAAAGCGAATATGCACAAATCGCAGCGCCTCTGCTAGATATGGTGCTGCGAGAGATTTCCGCACCCAACCGCAAAGACATTTTTCGCGAAGACAAGAACCTTGAGGCTGGGTGCTCTTCAAAAGCTGCGTTGCACCTTGTGGCGAGAGAACAGGTTTCGTTTGCGAAGCTTTCTGTCCAGGTCGGAGAAGAGTGCCCGATCTTGAGTGATCTTCACGGCAGGGGCTTGTTCCGGGCTGAATACATCTCAGTGCCTTGCCGCACAGATCTTAAGCATTTCAGAAAGGTTTGGCTTATGTATGGTGGACATGATTTTCAATTTCACACGCTGCACGCTTTCGGAAAAAAACGGCCAAGGCCAAACCACTGTTTCTGCCCATGATGCCTGAAGCAAACAAACATCACACGACTCAGGTGTTATTTTTGTTTGCGCCTCTTTAGCCCTCTGGTTCCCTCAGACAAGACAATTTGCCTGCAGAAGCCTGTACATTGTATACATGTATATGTATGCAATGCATATGATATATGTATACATATATATATGTATATATGCATATTGTATATACACATATATATATATGTATATGTATATGTATATAATATATATATATATATTACGCAAGCCAGCCGATAGGCTAGGCTTGAGCTTTTAGAGCGAACGAAGTGAGTTAAGGGGGTGTGGGGTCATCAGCATTACCATCATGAAGGGGTCGCCGAAGTCTCCGTCATGCCTGCGTCTATCAACAACAAGCTGCTCACGAAGTACATGAGGAACGGCCAGCCCTTGTGCGCCAGCTTCTAGACGGAGAGTTGCCCCAAGGATCCATGCGATGAGCAGCACAAGTGCGCCATCGTGTTGCAGAGCGGCCTGGCTTGCGGTGGCAATCATAGTGCGCAAGTGGAGACAATTTTTCTAGTCCTGAGCAGGGCATGGGGACTGTGTAGCTCTGATCATACCAAGAAGGACCAAGCAACAAAGAGTGAACGCTCTGGGAGCGAACGGTGTGAGTATGTGCAGTTGGGCGAAGTAGAGGCTTGGGGATAAGAGCGCCGCAAGAGGAGAAGCAAGAAAGCTGCAAGCGTTCAACACTTCATGCTGTGCTCCGATCTTGATCCCACTCGCAGTGAGACCAGCTCCACGAAACTACAAGCTTTCAACTATGGGTGCTCTGCTATTTTTTCCTCCCAGCCCTGCTCTCTATAGGGCTTCGCATTGATGCACGATACCCGAAACACATTTCCAACACAACCACAAAAACCATTTCGGGCATCATTCTCCTGGTGTTCACTGACGTTTATTTTTGTACGGATTCTCAAATAGAACACCAACAAGGGACGCTCCAGAAGGCGCCGCACCAAGCAAATCAAGAATACTAAAAACATTCAACACTTCATGCTGTGCTCCGATCTACAACCATTCAAGAATGAGTGCTCTCTTTTCTTTCTCCCAGCCCTGCTCTTTATAGGGCTTCGCATTGCTGCACGATGCCCGAAACACATTTCAAAACAACAAAAAACAACCTTTCGGGCATCCTTCTCCTGGTCTTCACTGACGTTTCTTTTTTCCCGGATTCTCAAATAGACCACCAAACAGGGACGCTCCAGAGAGCACCGCGCCAGGAAAATCGAGAAAACCTAAAACATTCAACACTTCATGCTGTGCTCCGATCTTGATCTACTCCACGTTGCTACAAGCTCCACGAAAGCTACAGGCATTCAACAATAAGTGCTCCGCTATTTTTTCCTCCCAGTCTTGCATTACCATATTGGTCTCTCGCTGGCTTTCGTCCTCTCCTTTCTCAGGTACATATGCATACATATGCATACACATGCATACATATACATACATACATACATACATACATACATACATACATACATACATACGTATATACCTAGGAACCCTGAAAGTAAATCCACTCGAAAGAAGACTTGCAGTCCAATGAGCTCTCGAGGTGTGACAAATAGAACAAACTAGGGAACCGGATGATTGAATTGGATCAGTTTGCAACGCTCCTGCACACAAGCCTCCAAGAGTATCACAGTCGAAGTGGTGCTGCGTTCCAGAGATCCGTTTGTTTGACATGAGAGTTGCAACTGAAAGTGGCAACAATTCATCAAGGCGAGGGGCTCCGTGGCCCAAGTCCAAGCTGTTGGGCTGGCGAGCAATTTGCAGGCAAGAAGCAGGGCGCTTTACCTGGCCCTTAGCATCACTATTATTCTTCGTTTGCTACTTGGCAAGCTGAGTGTTGGAAGGGGCCGGTCCTTTGAGTAGAATCTTTAGGTGTGGTTGAAGTTGTTTCAATACGGGCCTCAATAATCCTCAAATATTTCTAATAATGACGGGGTGTGCCAGTGTGCTCTCGCCAAGTTTATTTTATTTCGATCTTTTGGAAGGTTTTGGGAGAGTCCCGAATAATGGCACAGCAGAAAATAACTTGCAGCATTTGTGTCTGAAGCTTTCTGGGTGAGATTTCCAACTTGCATTTTGTTATTCTGGATCCAGACTATTGTGCCTCCCAAACCCAGATATCTATGATATCTGGCTGTAATTAGAATCAAATTGTATCTGAGTTTTCTGGGCGGCTTGCATCTTATCAATACAGACCTAATACGAAGAAACACCATAACACCACAGAATCAGATGATTGTGATTTTGCTAGTAGAAAGGAACTGCCAATATACTGAGGCTGCAAAGAATGAGTTGGGAAGGCTGTTTGCTTGTGGGTCCAGGTATGCTGCGTGTGCTGCATGTAGCCTAGGTGAGCGCAGTTCTATAGGTTGGGGATTAACAGGGTTTGAAGATGCATTGTGATGACTGCGTCAGCCTTGGGCTGGTTTCTGTGGTCCCAGTCAGAACTGGAACTCAGGGCCTCAAAGCGCAATCAAATGGCTGGGCCAGCTTGATTGAAACCCAGGGTTGATGTTCGCATTGGCAGGGCTGTGCGGGGGGAGTCTTTAGACATGCTACTGTAGCAATGCTACCCACAAAATGCAGAAACTTTCAGCGCACAAACAAGTACAGATGTCTAGAGAAAACCGAAGACAAGCAACTTTGATTGAACGTTATTATTGAACAGTTGGGGTTCTTCATAGACGAGAACATTGTGGAAAAGTACTATGGAAGCAAGTATGGAACATTGCAAGCCTCGTGCAAACACAGCAGACAAACATACAGACCTAAAAGATTGGAAAGTACAGATTTCTGGGGATGGTTGTAGTAGATGAAGATTCCCAGCATTTCCTAGCGACAAGTCTAGAATGTTGAAAGGAACGAATAAGAACCGTCGAGACAGTGAGTATGGAGAGATATCGAGAGTTCTCAAGGTAGATAGTCGGCTTTCCATCTTAAGGAAGGCTAGAAAAAACAGTTCCTAGAGTAAAGGCCAAATCAAACAACTCCACCATATATACTGTATGTATATATTTGTATAATGCATAGATAATTCCAAATGAACGACGGATCGTGCCACCAACGTTGAGCTTCACTCCATCACAAATTACCACGCACTACAGAAGCAGACAAGCACACTTCATCTCATCACCAAGCTCTTTCAGATTCATTCCGTTCTTTGGGCCGACCCAAGTGGTGATTGGTTTGCCTCAGGGCACGCTAGGACGATACACTTCAGATATGCTCAGTAAATAGTTTACCAAGAGGAGGTGCTGGCAATGTGACAGAAGAACATGCCACGGCATGAAGTGCTTCAAGTAGCCAAGAAGGGCCGAACAGTGAAATGAGTAGACACTCGTGTCAAACATCTTGGTTTTTCATGCATGTTCTATGACACACTGCACACCTGCGCGCCTGCACACAGGCAGGCAGGCACGCACGCACGCAGGCAGGCATTCGGCAAAGTTAAGTGGTGGAGATCTGAACTTTATGGAATTTCTGCTAGTAGCTTCTTGTTACTAGTAGCGATGGCCTCCAACCTGCTTGCGATGGCCTCCACCTAATAGCGTCCTTGTTAATATAACTACCGTATGCTTGAGCGACTTGAGGTTTGCATGGTCTTGCAATTTGTTCAAGCTAAGGCTCAGCCCTCGCCAAGTGCATGCGGTGTACGAGTCCTTCACCCGCTTGCAGGGGCTGGTGGCCCTGACGCAGAAGGCGCTCTGCGCTGCGCCGCCCAGCCCCTCCTCCGAGGTGCTGGGGGGTAGCTGAACTTCTTTTTTCATTTTCTTTCCACTTCTTCTGTTTTTTTTCTCCTTGTTCTTCTTCCTCCCATAAATTTCCTTTTGTATTTTTATGTTTATTGTTATTTTTTGCTTCTTCTTTTTCCTGCTTTTTTGTTCGGACATGGGTATGCTGCGGTAACGTAAGAGAATTCCGAAGTTCCGAAGCACTGTCATTTCTTGGTGACCGCATGTTACCCTGCATGGAATCAGATTAGCTGGAGATAGGGGTACGTTCCAGGAAAGATCGACAAAGCAATAATAGGTACGATAGACACAACATGGGCGAGAAGGTACACGGAAAGCCGAAACAAACATGATTGCCTGAAAATTGCCAGGTCGCGATGCGAACCTACACTCTGCTTGCTTTTTTGTAGGCTTTTTTTTCTTGGCTTGATCTTCTTTCTGTTGTGTTGACGCAATGTGATTTCTGCCCAGTGCATCCCAGTGCTCTGAATTCTGAATGTCAAACTGATAAAATTCAATCCAGCTCAGGTAAACAGCACGAGTAACTATGACTCTCTTAAGGCAAGCAAATGCCTTGTCATTTATATAGTCAGTGCTGCGCATGGAGGGATTAACGAGATTCTCAGATTCCCACTGTACCTACTATGGAGCAAAACCACAGCCAAGGTGGTCCGACCAAACAAACAATACTTTAAGTGACTACATAAATTCAAACAGAGGTCTATATGAGTGCCTACAGAACAAGACCCCTGTCGAGGAGATCGAGAGTTTCCAGGCGGAAGTGGGAGCTTTGTGCCACCCACCTGGTGCCATGGAGAGGGAATGGCTGGTGCCCTCTGACAGGAGCCCATGACAAGATCTCGAGCTGCTCAAGAGCTGGTGCACTGCATTGCTCTTCTGTCAGCTTCAGTCACATGTAATGCACCTTGGCAAACACTGCAAAGCTGCACAGCTCATCTTCTCAGCTCCCAAAGCTGATGGAATTGAAAGTCACTTTAGGGGAAGAACTTCAACGCTTTAATATGCTTGAATTACCTCAGACCAGCTTGTTGGGGAGCACGGCCCAAAGTTCCCACAAACAGTCTGACTTTAGCAGCCAGGCACCGGGTGATGGATGTACCGCTCGTGCGCAGCGTTTGCCCTTGGCCAATCACGTCTGCAGAGTGGTCTGCAAGCATTGCAGGTCCTCGGTCACCCCGGTCCTCCAGCTAAGCTTGAGCACAGGATGAGCACAGGACGAGGTCGGCTCCACACTGCTCCAGTCTGGCGCTACCCAGCAGAGCAAGCGACAGAAAACAAGGGGCCTTTGCAACTTTTTGCGTGTTGTCATGCTTTTGTGCCCTTGGGCGTTGCCACAAGTAAAATACCCACCCTGGGCAGTCGATGAAAAAGCATCCACTTGCACTGTCAGGATGACAAGAAGAAGAAGGGCGGCTTCATGACAGATATGCAGAAGAGGTATGCGGCAGTTGAGTCGTTTGGATCTCAGGCAGTTCGAAAGCCAGAGCAGCTCAACACTTGAATGTATTTTGTGTGCACACAGAAGTGCATTCGACAATCATGTAAGATCATGCAAGTGGTGGCAGTGTGCGGAAAGTATGCGCATCGCACATACTGTACTTGATTTTTGCTAGTTGGGGTAGCAGTTGCAAGCAAATGGCCAGAAGTCACAACCAAAGGATTTGCAATGGGCTGGTACGGTGTGGCTAGGTTGCGAGGCACAAACCACCGTATCACATTTCTTCAATCATTTATATAATGTGCTCGTTCTCGAGGAAAGCCCTGCGGAATGAAATCGCCGCAGCATTCCGCAGCATTCAATTATCCCAACTATTTGCCTCATATCACGCCAACAACTTGGCCAAAACCTGGCCGTATGTACCGGGAACTTATACCTTTTGCAATGACGTAATCTAATGCTGCGCTTGGTTGCCGCTTTCCTCCTTCGGAAAGTCCCCTCCTTGATGCACCTTAACGCGGTTCATTATTTTACGCATGATTGATTCTTGAATTTTTCTCCACCCCCACCCCGCCGCCATGCTGTGTCCTTTTCCATGCGAGGGAACTGCGTGTCCTCAAGTCCAAATTGGACCAATCATGCACACTTGCACCTGGAAACAACCAACCTTGTGCATACACCACACGTGCACCTTGACAAATAAAACACGATGCCACTCAGACTTGCATTATCTTGCATCCATACACGTAAGAGTCACATAAGACACTGAACAACAAGGTGCATTCTCATTTTGCCTTCGCAGTTGCAACTTTCTCAGAGCGCTGACCATTGAAACTGAACGAGGTGGATGCCTTGGAAGCTCGCAACCAAAGCAAAGAGCGCATGGGATGCCCAGAATGTTTGAAACTGACGTCAGCGATTCATTTCATTTGGTCATGCTGCTGCTGTCGCTTTTAAGGCCAAGTGTACAAACTGCAAAAAGACCGCCGATGTCTATTGCGTGGGGGCCGTCAGCTGCTACACATGGGCTGCTTTGTTTGTAATTACAGCAGTTGGTTTTGGCAAGCTCGCAAAACACTCCAAACTCATTTTATTTGAGGACTAGCTTGTCAGCGCAACATTTTGGGACATGGCCAGGGTGTGGGGCTGTGCAACATGTTCGTGATGTGTTCCCATGCAACCGAAACATGTTTGGTGATTTGTGTGTTCCTGTTGTAGGTCTGAATTGGCAGAATCTATCTGTGCGCAGTAGAAGCAAGAGCTCTGAATTGGACTACATACGTTGGACATTGTTGGACAAAGTTTTGAATTGTGTCCTTTTTGCATCCTGAGGGGTCACCGGGGTCATCCTTTGTTTAACACTCTCCCTGCCCAGCGACTGACTGTCCGCAGTGACAGTGTCCTTACATGGTGAGATGTGGCCTTCTGCAGCCCAGCTCAAGCTGCAAGGTGGATTGCAAGCGAGAGCTTTGCCTGTTTTGCACCACCTTGCTCCACCATCCAGACACCAAGGCTGGCTGAATCGTGGGGAAAGTAATTAAGCATGCTTGTGGTGCCAACATGGGATAAATTCCTTTGGATATGATATTGCTAAATTCAGGCTTTTCAAGCTGCGTTTCAACATTCAGTGTGGAAGCCTCCTAAGAGTCACCGTTTTTCACACGGTTGTTGGGAACTGGTATGGTTACTTTCGTGGTGGGATGAGGTTCGTGAGAGGCAAACATGCATGCACGAATGCAATGCAGGGTTTGTTTTGGGCTTGTCGTATTGGTTTGAACGCAGCTTGCAGCTTTGCGCTGCGCAGTTCGTTTGCTCCAGTCTTGGTCTCTAACCACAGTCATCCCGAACATGTATACATGTAGGAGGTTTGTATTTTCGGTGCATTGGTTGAAGGCAAAAGCAGTTGAGTTGCATTACAAAGAGTTCCTGTATTCACAAAGAGGTGAGCGGCCACAATGAATCTGATTGTGTGTTTCTACCTCACTACACTGATGTGCCTTTGGTACACAGATGTACATGATCGCGATAGTATAATGCTTGATACTTGTATGATCTTGTATGGGATTCTCTCAAGGGATGGGAACGGTTACATTCGAGAACCTTTGTCGGACTTGTGCGAAGTTATGGGAGTATTTTGGACATCCACCGTTAAGGATCACAGATATCGATGCGTTCATGTCAAGCACTTTTTCTTCAGAACCTGTGCTCCTTGAAGCTGGACGAGTTGCCATTTGCAAGTAAGAGTATAAGTAATTGCTGTATCCCCAGCAAGGAAAGTGCTCTTGGTGCGTTTGGCTGGTGTTGTTTGTTCCAAAATTTGGCAGTTCGAGACGCACTCTTTGGAAGACATCGTCAAAGAAGATGCCACGCACTTAGGGGAGTCTTGAATCTTTGTAAGTCCTGCGGGGCAGCAGTTAAACTCACAAGAATCTTATGATGCTTTGACGAATGAGCTGATGCGCCGCTGTTGGAATTAATATTCTTGATATTCTCGCTTGATTTAGGACCATTTGTATCCCTTTGTTTCAATGCAGTGTTGGAGGAATCAAAGGTAATTCCAAGATTGCGCGATGATGAACGGATGCTCCAAAAGGCCAGTTCCAACATGTCTAAAGACTTTCCATTTGGTTCTAACGACCTTCGTCCAACTTCGAAGAAGACATGCAGCGCTGGTTGCGGAGTCACATGTTTTCCAAACCCCGAGGTCTACAGAGGTTTCCTCTACAGAGTTCCTAGTAGCGTCCTTGTGGCCAGGAGCCCCTAGTAGCGTCCTTGCTCCTAGTAGCGATGCCAAGGGTCTAGTAGCTTCTTGTTCGTAGTAGTAAGGCCATCAGCCCCTGGTAGCGTCCTTGCTCCTAGTAGTGATGCCAGGAGCCCCTTGTAGCTTCTTGTTCCTAGTAGTAAGGCCAGGAGCCCCTAGTAGCGTCCTTGCTCCTAGTAGCGATGCCAGGAGCCCCTAGTAGCTTCTTGTTCCTAGTATATTGTGAGGCCAGGAGTCCCTCATGGTGGCAGTGTGTTGGTTTTAAGGCGAGGCCGGAGGTGAAGATTATCAGTCGCGTGCCAAGAGCGTGCGGCTTGCGTGCGGAGGGGGCCTGAGTGCCCTGGAGCATGCCCTGATAGGGCGAGGATCTAGCAGGGAGCTAGATCCGCAATACCAGTGTCGAAGACCCTTTTTTGAGGAACTGCGTATTCCTCTGGATTGGGCGACCTGTCTTTGAAGTCAGCTTTGACCCAGACAGCTGACTCTTCCAAGACACCACGCCATGTTGCGCAGATTTGCGCAGGCACTTTATTTGAAGCTGCTATAGTCCTAGACCGTGGCGGAATGGTGGGATCAGGACCTTGGGAACATTGATCACTAGCATCAACCTTTTTCAATATTTTTCCTTCGGCCACTGTTTTGCTTCACAGGTTTCTGTAGGTTTAAGATGGTTTAAGTGCGTTTGCAAAAACTTGTTTAGACTTTTGTCTCGACATTGGCTGGCTTGAATCTATTGACGTCCGTTTGAGTCTTCCAAAGTCGGCATCGTGGTCCTGTGGGATGGATGCTCTGAACTCAGGTCCGATCCTGCTGGAGCTCATCCTAATTGCTGGAGGCTTCTTTTTCTTCAGTGGCACAGGCGGGGTGCAGCACTGCCCGTGCAGTCCAGCTTGCAGAGTTGCCATAAGCATGCCACAGTCGGAAGGGGTGGACCATTTTTCGTAGTGGAGTCCAGAAGAATCCATGAGGAATGCCCTCAGTCATGACATGTCATGACCAACTTTGCAATACGTGTTGCATGTAGCTTGCGGGAGCATGCGCGAGCCCAGGCTTGTATGTGATGCAATAAGCAAGGGCAGTGTGTTGATTTGCTTTTTGGAAGAGCGTGCGGTAGTTGATCGAGGCCAAGACACTCCCGGGTCCCAGGCATTTCACCTGAGTACTTCAGTGGCGAAAGCTATTGTCCTGGCTTGGGCCGGGTCAGGCGCGGCACTCGAGAGACTGCTCCAGCTCACTCGGCGCATCTCAGCACCAGTTTGTGAGACGCATTTCAATCACAATAATTTTGTTCGTGGTGCATGGGTGAGGTTTGAACGGGCATTGCTAACCCTCCATTTCATGTTGGCAAACGTTCATGATATTTTATGATACACTCGGTGTGAAAGGACATCCTTGAAACACCTCCCGTTTGCTCCTGATTGACCCGGGCACTGCAATCATCGTGGCTAAATTCTTTGTTTCACGATATTTCATGAGGACTATTTGCATCTCTTACATTCTCTTACTGGATCTTTCTCAACAGACCATCGCCGGCAGAGGCTTTTGTTCTTTTTGTATATCATCAATTCCATTCTTGTTCAATCGATGTATCCTTTGTATGTTCATCAAACTATCTACTGTATGATGTATCTCT